ATTTGATGGAAGAACAGGGATCCCTTTTAGCAACCTGTTTTAATGGGTAATTGCAATAAGGGCTGCTCGCTCCGATGTTTGTGGTTATGTGGCTCTCTAGGGGCTTGGCCGTAATTTATGTTCTTTGTGGCGTTCTTTTTATTATTGGTTGGACTTTATAATAGATCTGAAGTCCTTTTCGCCAAATAAGTTGTACTCGGATCCAAAAAGATCTAGACCCGACAGATGAAGGCTTTGCTGAATTATTACTTTTCTTTCCTCTTTCTAAATCGATCAAATGCATTGTCCAGACTATTACTACTAGACCCAACATAAGAAACAAAATACTTATTAGGTTTTGTACAATGCTAGGTGTTTAAGGAGGTGCTTAGAAAAATAAACTGGATTTTTCTGAAGCACCGGTGCCTATTTCTACAGAAGAGACACCTAATTAAGCGTCTACCTGTATAAATAAGCACCAGTGCTTAAGAAAAGTCTGCTTTATATATCCAAACACCTCTTCTAAGCACCTTGCATTGTGTAAGGGCATCTCCAGCCGTTGGCCCCTCAGGCGGCATCTAAAAGTGCCGCCTGAGGGTGAGCCGGTGAAAAAAATGGCACTGGGGGCGAGTCGGTCCCCAGCCGTCGGCCCCCAGGGCCGCCCCCAGGCGCGTATCTTAAAAAAAACAGAACCGTTCGGCGAAGTTATGATAAAAACTAGTTAAATTTCGGCCAAACATTACAAATTTCGGTGAAATTCGGCCAAACACTACATGAACCTAATCTAAAAAAAGAGAGAAAGGGGCTGAAGTCGTCGCCGCCGTCGCCGCCATCGTCGTCGTCGGCCTTCTCCTCCTTGACGCGGGCGCCCCTGCTGGACCCCTCCCCGGCGTCGCCATGGCGAACAGGTGGCGGCGCGTAGTCGTCGTCGTCGCTGTCGCACAAGAGACGACCCTGCCTTCCTCGCGGCCGCGTCGGCGCTCCTCGAAGCGGCGTAGGGCGGCGTGCTGGCGCTCCTTCTCCTTCTCGCGGCGCGCCTTCTCCATCGCAATGGAGTCCTGGCGCGCCCATTCGAGGGCGGCGTCGCCGTCGTCGTCAAACTCGGCCTTCACCGGCGCCAGCCCCGGCTCCGTCTTTGGCTTAACAAAGCGCGGAGGAGCCGACGAGGGGGCGCGCCGGCCGCCCTCGTTGATGACGATGCCGGCGTTGCGAATGCGCCGGCCGAGCGGCGTCTCCGCCGCGGGCTCGACCTTGACGCCGAGCAGCGCCGGAGAGCCGGAGGAGTGTGAAGAAGAACGGGATGAGGAGGAAGAAGAGGAGGCGCTGAACCTCCTTGGAGCCCATGGCCCGGCGCGTCGGTGCTGCGCCGGGGCGGCCACCCTCGCCGGGGGGTACGCCAACGGCGGGTCGTTGCCGCCCTCGAGGTACGTGAGCACGCCCTCGAGTGTGCGGCCGGGGACGCCCCACCAGAGGTAGCGTCCCTCGCTGTTCTGCCGGCTGCCGACCACCGGCGCGCCGTTGGTGGACGCCAAGCGCTGCTGTTGGCGGCGCTCGAAATACGCCGCCCAGGCCGCGTGGTTGTCGGCGGCGTACTGGGGGAGGGAGAGCTCGGCGTCGGTGAGGGACACGCGCACGATCTCGACCTCCTCGGCGAAGTACCTCGGGTCCGCCATGGCGTCGGGCAACGGGGGAATGGTCACTCCCCCGGCGCTGAGTCTCCACCCCGTCGGCCCGGCGCGCATGTCCGGCGGCGCCGGGATGTTCGCCTGGAACAGGAGCCAGGACTCCTGTTTGCGGAGCGAACGGCGGCCGAAGCCGTTGGCCGCCGCCGTATCTCCGGGGAAGCGTTCTGCCATGGCGAAGGCGGGGCTGGGCGGGCTCGGGAGAGGTAGAGGGAGGGGCTGGGCGGCGGCGCTCGGGGAGAGGTAGGGAGAGGAATGGCTGGACGGCGGCGAGGGGCGGGGCTGGTGTGGGCGCAGCTGAGTGGAGGCCGCCGGCTTTTATAGCCGGGCTGCGCCCATGTGTATGCATGCGAGGGAGTGGAGGCGTCGGCGCGCCGTCCCGTGAACGCGCCGCCCGTGAGGAATCAATGGCAAGGCTGACCGGCGACAGCCTTGCCATTGATTCCCTGCGGGAACCGAGGCCGTTGGGGGAAGACGAGGCGCCGAGTCGCTGACGCGGCTGGCCCGCGTCTTTTTCGCGCCAAAACAGCTCGCCCCGTCGCCCCCGGGCACCCCCCAGCGCGCCGGGTTCGGCCTGGGTCCGCCGACGCTGTTTTCGGCCCAAGCCGGCGAAAATCGGGCTCCTGGGGGCGCGACTGGACCGTTTTTTCGGCGCCAGCGCGAAAAATCTCCTGGGGAGGCCTTCCTGAGGGCGCGTCTGGAGATGCCCTAAGGCCTTAGAGAAAAAAAGAAATATCTGGTCCACACGAAAATTGACCACACACATAAGGTTGCCGTAGTGGGTAATATCATAACTTAATGTCACGTCGAACCAACCTGTGGTTTGGATGGTTAGGAGGACAATGCTATCCCTAGCCCACCAGGGGTTCAAGTCATGGTTCTCGCATTTATCCTGCATTTATTTTAGGATTTCCGGCGATGCGCGTTTCGTAGGAAGAGACGTTCTTGTCGACAACGAGACGCTTATGGTGACTTCGTAAAATCTCAAGATGACATACCCGCTCAGTCTATTTGAGGTGCTCATTGGGGTAGGGTATGCATGTGTTGAGTATATGCATGTATATATAAGCGCTTGCGTTCAAAAAAAACTTAATGTTATGTATATGATACTAGTGTATGATATCATCTCCGTAATGCAAAATATAATATACGAGTGTCATACTTTATTTATTGACATACATGACACATACTAGCATAATATTTATTATGATACTCAACCGTCTCTTTCTTCATTAATTCTATGCTACGTCAGCAAAATTGTCTAGTTGGCATGCACAATACTATCTATAATACTCTCAATATGACCAGCCTAACACATAATCCGAGGACATGTACAGTGGTTGATAAGGCAATATTATCTTAAGCCTTACGTATAACTTAGAGATGACAATAAAAGAATGTCTACAATGCTTATCTCTTAGCCTTATCTTTAGAACTAGCAATTCCTAAAAGCATGATGAAACATATTTTGCTAAGAGACCATCTCTTAAATAAGAGAAGACAAACCCTTTCTTATGACTTCTCTCTTCTCCACCTTCATTTATCATATGTGGCATTTCTAAGATAGTATCATTATACATGCCCCGAGTTACAAAACTTTATTGTTTTAATAGTGGACATGACAGTAATCTATACTTGCAACTCTTTTAGTTTTTTTTAGTGAGGGGATGCAATTCTTTTATTAGAGCATCTCTAGCAGACCCTGCAAAAACGGTCAAATTCGTAAAAATCCGCGTTTTTAGTTTCGTGGTGTCAAAAAAGTCCAAAATAAACCCCGCAAAAATGGTCAAACCCGTTAAAATTTTGCAGGCCCATGAAAATCCATCCCACGACCCTTTATTTTGCAGATTTGGAGGCAAAATATAAGGGGGACTGCAAATCGGTCAACGCTACGCGACAAGGAAATTCCGCCGTGCGCACATGGCCTTCGGTGACCTTTCGCCACGGAACTCGCCGGAATCTCGCCGGAAACTCGCCGTTTACCGCTGCTGCGGCGTCGGCTTGCGGAGTAGATCGCAGGAGCAGTGGCTGAAGACTCGAGCAGCTACCCGGCCACGAACGAGCTAGCTAGCAAGCTCCTGATCCATCCGGCCATGAACGAGCTAGCTAGCTAGCTAGCTAGCAAGCTCCTCGATCCAGCCGGCCATGGAATAGCTAGCTAGCTCCCGGATCCATTCGGCAACGGAGGAGCTGGCTCTTGGATTGATTCGGCGACTACCATGGACGACAGGAGGTGACTATGAACACAGGCGAGAAGAAGAAGAAGACACGGGAAAAAATATACACGAATATTCTTTTTCACGGGTCGATTATGCGGAGTCTGCATCTACGGCCGTCTGCACCGGCTCGTAAAGCCGTTTTTTCACAAACTGCAAACGCGTTCTGCGGGTCGGCGGGATGCGGGATCTGCTAGAGAGATGCTCTTAATAACCAAAGACGACAAAACCGCAAAACAACTGCACCAAGCCCGGACGAGAGAGCCAGGACAAACCACCTGCCAGCGAGAAGACACATTATAGGTAAGGGAGTGGATAGATAATGATGGATGAGGACGAAAAGAAGAGAAACTATAGATTAAAGTCATAGTCTCTGATTTTTAATTGTGAGCCATGAACGCTGGTGCTTGGGTCTTCGGATATCACACTACAAGACCCATACAGAAAACGTAAAAAACCTAATGTTTTTTTATGTATTTGACTTGTTGTACAAAAGTTGGTAAAGAGGCAAATTAAATGGAATAATGGTAGGCAGTGCGTCTCTGATAACTGTAATTAAAAAATCTTCACTCGCTCAAAAATAGATGACGTTCTAGAATTCATGTAATTAACCTTTTCTAAATTTGGCTTTTAATATATCAAATTTTTTTTGCTGGGTATATCTAACTTATTAATTAGATTGGTCAAGATAAAGATAGTTCATTTTACTTTTCACATTCTTTTCTTATTACTCCCTCGATCCATATTAATTGTCGCTTTGTACTAAATCGGCGATAATTAATATAGAGGAGTACTACAATTGACAATTTATACAAGAAAATAAGTATGCTTATTTTTAACAAAGGTGTATACAAAAGTTCATTTCAAAGTCTAAAATGACATGTATAATAACACGAAGTCAATCTAGCCGCGCAAATGCATGGGTCATCCTACTAGTTGCAAATAAGCAAGCAATTGGAGATTAGTTGCCCTGAGCACCTCAACAACCTTTCCTGCCTTGTTCCATTCAACCAATGAAACCTACCCCCTTTCTACCCTATAAATTAATAACCACACAAGTAGTCTTCCATCACCTTTGATCAAGTGTCATAAACCTGACGGTTCGTGAGGCAGGTAAAAGTAGATGGCAATGATCGGTGAAATGGATGCGGACAGCGTTGTAGGATACTTTAGGAACAAGAGCATCCTCATTACTGGTTCAACTGGGTTCCTAGGAAAAGGTATGTGTTCATGCATGCTCACTATGTTTAAGTTCAGGACGTGCTGATCATCTCAGAGGCCTATATGTTGGTCTTTCTTGCATGATTTGCAAGTAGTGCTTGTGGAAAAGATACTGAGGGTTCAGCCTGATGTGAAGAAGCTCTTCCTCTTAATTCGGGCCCCCAATGTTGAATCTGCAAAGCTTCGACTTCAGACAGAGGTGACATATTCATTTATACACGTCAATGTGTTTCTTAAAAATCTGTTCTCACTTGTTCTCTCGCCTTCTATACTACCTAGAAATATAGAGGGAACAAGTGAATGCATTGCATATTTTGCAGTATATCTATCGTTGTGTGTTCCATAATTACCACACGACCAACATTAAAAAAAATTATCACACGACAGAAGGAATGAATAGTAGAGAGCACAATAAGGAAGGTGTAGGATAGTACACGGTAACACTATACTAAATAGTACGGAGGTGCATCAAATGCTCTTGACAAACAATAAACCTAAAAATCAATGGTTTTCTTAATCCACTAAGTTTGCAGCTGGATTAGCAGCATTCATCTCTGAGAATGTACACTTTGCTCCTGAGAGAGTAATTTTACAATGTGGAGTACAAATACTGTTATGGTATTTTCAGGTTACAGCGAAGGAGATCTTTCAACTGCTGAAAAAAAAACATGGTGTGGGGTTCGAAAATTTTATCGAAGAAAAGATCTGTCCTTTGGCAGGAGATATCATGCATGAGGACTTTGGACTAGATAGTGCCCAGCTGAGAGCTTTGTGCAAGGACATAGACATCATCGTTAATGGTGCTGCAACTACGAATTTCTCTGAAAGGTTTGTATGTGTTTCCTGGTCACATATTACTGGCACAGCGCTGGAATAATTGGTCAAAATGTCATCCCAATTTTTCAGATATGACGCGGCTTTCGACGTGAATGTCTTGGGAGCGAAGAACGTCTGCGCATTCGCAAACAAGTGTACTAAGCTCAAGATGTTACTTCATGTTTCAACTGGTGTGAAGCAATAGGACTATATATAACCTATGCATTTGTGGTTGGTGGTGGCATGCAATTCCAAATTGTAACTCATTAAGTGAGTGTTTATATGACTTGAACAGCCTACGTAGCTGGTGAACAAGAGGGGTTAATACCAGAGAAGCCATTCTTGATGGGTGAGACACTAAGGGTGGGTACACATCTAGACATCGAATCAGAGATAAATCTTATTAAAGAGGCCAGAAGAGAACTAAGGGCCAACTGTTCCACAGAGAAAGCTGAGAAGAAAACAATGAAAGAGCTTGGCCTCAAGAGGTCAGACACACACAAATAAGCAGAAAACCAAAATCGGCAACATACTTATTCATGTGCAATCATTTTTTCCACTGATACATTTGCTATATGTTTTTATGCTCAAATGGATGAAGGGCACGACACTTTGGGTGGCCAAACACCTATGTCTTCACAAAGGCAATGGGGGAGATGATTATGGGACACCTGCGGGGGCGCTTTCTGGTGGTCATCATCCGCCCGAGCATCATAACGAGTACACTCAAGGAGCCATTTCCTGGATGGATGGAAGGAATCAGGTTACTGAACCAAAAAAAACTCAGTGTCTTGATCTTTCACACCAACGGTGAATGACTACTTATCATTTTATGTTTTGCAGAACAATTGACTCGGTGATGATCGGCTATGCCAAGCAGATCTTGCCATTCTTCATCGGCGACCTTGATTTAATAATAGACGTGGTGAGTTCATTTACAAATCGGAAACCGGTGGAATGAAATTTGACGAAGGAACCAGTTAACCAGATGTGTTGCTTTCTTGGCGGATGGTTTGAACAGATTCCGGGGGACATTGTGGTGAACGCTATGATGGTTGCCATGGCAGCACAATTAAAGGATCAACAACCGCAGATCATCTACCATGTAACTTCCTCTTTACGCAACCCAGCACCCTCCGCCCTTGTTGTGGAATCAATGCACCGTTACTTCTTCGAAAATCCGTTGTGCAAAGGAAGGAATGGCGAGCATGTCCGGATGAAGAAGATGAGGTTCTTCAGCACGCTCGCACAGTTGAGATTTTACACCGCCCTCGTGTACAAGCTTCCGCTCCAGGTTAGCTCACCATTCAACATAGAATAGTTTATTTCGTATATGACACGAGAATGAGCCTAATGTTTGTACTTCTCCCGTGATAAATTGGACAGATGCTTGGCCTGCTGAACATTGCCCTTTGTGGTGTTTTCTCACGGTACTACAACAAGCTTAGCAGAAAATACATATTCTTCATGCATATGGTCGAGCTCTACGCACCATACGGTTTGTTCAAAGGATGGTAAGCAACTTAAAAGCTTGTCAAATGTTTTTTTAGTTCACTTAAGCAATTACATGGTATACCAGTGTGCCCTCTTAATATATCAATATGTAATATTTTGTTCAAAATGTTATTATTTGACTTGATATTATCAATCATGTGAAGCTTTGATGACACAAACTTGGAGAGGCTAAGGATGGCAATGAACACGGATCAAAATAACAATGGGTCCTATTACTTCGACTTTGACCCCAAGTCCGTTGACTGGGACGACTATTTCTACCGTGTTCACATCCCCGGTGTGGTCAAGTATACATGTCATTGAGTTAGTGTTTACAAGCGCACTTTGCTAGCCTTGAAAAATACAATCATAATGTATATTTCTTATGCAACTCATACAAATTTATGTATTTTATCAAAAAGTAAAGTGTATGTATCAGCTTTATGTTGTATCATGGTGCGTCAATAAAATTGAATGTTATAAGAAAAAAATGAATATATGTATTATACTTCATCTTTTTTTTTAAAGTAGGATAGCCCCCGGCCTCTCACTGGTGGAAAAAGGGCCTTTGGTCGCGGTTCGCAACTGCCATTAGTCGCGGTTGCACAACCGCGACCAAATAGGCGCGACTAAAGGACCCCCACTTTAGTCGCAGTTGCTTAAAAACCGCGACTAAAGGCCCGTCCACGTGGGCGCCAGGCGGCCGTCGGGGCGGAGGACCTTTAGTCGCGGTTCTTCTGGCCAACCGCGACTAAAGGCCGCCACAGGTTTAGGGTTTTAGCCCCCCCCCCCCTAAACCTGTTTTCTGTTTAATTTGTATTGTTTTATTTCTTTTGTGCTTTATTTTAATTTTGAAGGAGTTTCACATATTCTACGGTACTACATACATGCATATGAATGTACAATTTCAAACAAATTTGAAATTAGAACCAAAAAGAATTCAAGAGGAATATACAATATATATTCAATATCATCGGATGACCATATACAATTTTGAACAAGTTTCCATACATAATTTAATGCATATAAAGTTCTACGTCCTCGTAATGGTGTTTTCCTTTAGAATGGAGGACTTCCCTGCTGAACCATCCAGCTAGTTCCTCTTGAAGTGGTCGGAAGCGAGCTTCTGGACTAAGCATCATCCGGAGGTTATTCCTCTGAGCATTGGTATCACCCGGAACCCGCTCAGAGGTGTATCTCCGGATCATCTCACAGACATAGTATCCACATAGATTGGTCCTCGCTGGCTGAATATCCCCAGCATTCTTAGCCTTTGACCTTTTGAATTCTAGCTCTTTTTTGAATTCACCGACCTTTGTATCTACGAACCGTCTCCAAACCCTACGAGGCAAAGAAAATTAAATGAACAAGAGAGTTATTAGTTACTTGATATTAGGAAATGAACGAAATAGGCCGATCGATATAGAGCGCAAATGAATGAAAATAATTACTTCTGCAGCATTCTTCTCATGCCGCCCCAAAGCTTTGGATCCATATTCAGAGAGTCGTGGACGAGACATTCTGAGGTGTCAACTTTAATTACTAGCAGAATCCAGTGAAACCTGCGGACACGATACATGCACAGTACGTCATGCATAACTCATCGATTAGCCGGCCACATACCATGCATGGAGTAAACAAAAGAGAATATGCTCAAGACAGAAACACTCACCCAAAATGGTAAGGAAATAGAATATCACTTTTGAGTTCCTGCTTTGTAAGAAACTGCCACAGGTCTGCCTCCATGTCGGCGGGGTGATGCTCCAACACATATCCATTAACGATGTGTGGGTCAATGAACCCAACATCATGGATGTTCCTTACTCTGCATTCCTTAATCTTCATTCTGCATGTATAATAGCGGACACAACAATATAGTTAGGACATATATATAGTGCAGGCAATATGAACGAGATGGGGTAGAAATAAATCACTTACAGAACGTAGCAACTGATGATAGATTTGTCGAGCTCGCGCAGATTGAAAAGCTGGAACAATTCACTCAGATGAATTTGTACATAGTAATGTTTGAAGTGATGCTCATATCTAACTTCCGCATAAATATATTCTTTGGCGTTTTTATTTTTTATGTAACCCTTGTACCATTTCAGCAGACCTTTCATTTGTGGAGGTAGATCCTTTTCCTGCGCAGGCTCGACGAGAGGCCCATTCTTCACATATGTAATTACTACCTCCTTCACTGGCGCCTCATCAAGGCCTAACAGTTCACGAAGAGTAATACCTAAGTTGGCCGCTTGTTCTCTGGCACTCGTTACAGTCAATCCATGTGCTGCCGCAGCTGCTATGATATCGGGGTCATCCGGACCGACGGCTTTCACTATAAGCGGGGCAATCGATTGTTTACTTTGTTCCCCGAGCTGGGCAACTCGTTTCCCGCTTTTTTTACTTTCTAATTCCGTTTTCTCGGCCTCCTCCAAGGCTTTGTTCTCCTGGTTCTCCGCCCGCTCTTTCTTCTCCTTCAACATGAGTGCCTGCCTACGAAGTTCACGTGCATAGTCGTCAGGCAGATTCTTCGCGGCTTGGGACGGTGTGCTCAAAAATGACTTAGCCCATCTTTTGCTCATCAGAAAATACTGGCTTGGGCTCGGGCTCTCTTTTCTTCTTGCAGTCCGCCTTCCATTTGTCATGATCAGCAGCCGCGGCCGCGACAGTTTCCTCGGCACTACGTTCCCAAGGCCTTGTGGGGAGAGGCTTCAGTGATGGCTCCGGTACCTTTGTGGTCTTAGGTACATAAGGGTCCGGGTTAATAATCCAGGACTGCTTCTGCTTCTTTGCCGGAGGTGGATTGGGGGGCGGCGTCTGATCACCCGCCGGACGAGGATTGGGGGGCGGCGTCTGATCACCCGCCGGACGTTGTGGACTGGGGGGCGTCGGCTGATCACCCGCCGGACGAGGACTGGGGGGCGGCGTCTGATCACCCGCCGGACGAGGACTGGGGGGCGGCGTCTGATCACCCGCCGGACGTTGTGGACTGAGGGGCGTCGGCTGACGTGACGGAGGTGTAGGTGAACCGCCACCACCACCACCACCACCACCGCCGCCACCGCCACCACCACCACCGTAGGGGGGTGGACTTGTTGTCCTTGGCGCCTCGCCTGGAAACTTGATAAACTTCTTTTGCCATAGAATGAAATGGCGCTTGACATCTCCAAGTCTTTTCTCCCCTTCAGGTGTAGCAATGTCAATCTCCAGGTCCTCAAACCCTTGGACTATGTCCTCCACCGTGACACGAGCATAGCCATCTTGAATGGGGTTGTTGTGGTGGAGTGCTCCAGGTAAACATGGTAAAGCACTGCCGATGGCTACCTTCATGGACATGTTCCCGATAGGATAATACAGATGACATTCTTTCATCTCCTTTATATCGTCCACGGGGTAGCGAGGAGGCTCCGGTGCAGTAATTTCGACCACCAGAGGCTCCGGTGCAGTAATTTCGATCGTCGGTGCATCTGCACCAGCCGGTGGGGCCTCCGTGGAAGCCACGCTGCTTCTTCGCTGCTGGCTTCCGAGATCCGCTGGATGATCTTCATGCTGCCCGAGCTGCATCTCTTTCGGCTACTAGTACACTCACGGTTTTCTTCATCACATCCATTTCCGATGCCAACCGCGCCACAACATGTGCTTCCCGATCCATCTTCCTCTTACGGCTTCTGTAACCGTACGGGTCATCGTTCTGGGGGAACCCTATTTTCCACGGAATGTGCCCCATGCCTCGTACACGTCCTCCATGTTCAGGATTCCCGAGGGCTTTTGTCAGCGCGTCGTTCTCTCTGTTGAACTTGATCTTCCCCTCTTGAGCATCCCTCATTGCGTCAATAAGGGCTTGGGTGGGTTTAATTATTTTGCCCCGGTAAACACACTCCCCTGTCTCCGGGTTCAGCGTTCCCCCATGCCCGTACCACCAGCTTTTGGCCCTTGGGTCCCATCCCTCCGTACCTGGACGGATTCCTCGCGCCCTCAGCTCGTTCTCCATCTTCTCCAACCTAGGCACCCAAAGGCGATACCCTCCTGGCCCCATAATATGATTGTACTCCTTCTTAGCCGCATTTTCCTTATTTTTTTCGATATTTGAATGAACTGCTCCGATTTCTTTTGCTTCAAAAATTCTGGCCAATCATGTTTCAGTTTCTCATATTGTCCTTTGAAATCTGGAGTCTTGTTCTGCTTGACAAAGTCATGGGCTAGATTTTGCTTGAATTTCCGGAATGCGTCGGCCATCTTATGAAGAGCGAACTGTTTGACTAGCCTCCTCCTCTCCTTGTTTTCCTCAATCTTGTTACCCTCCTCATCGAATTTGTTGTATTCCGGAGGTAGAACGAAATGTTCCATAAGCTTCTTGAAGCAATCTTTTTTTGTTCTCTTATCGACAAAAGTGAAACCAGCAATTCGTTCCTTCTTTAGCTTATTCCACTCCTGGACGGTGATCGAGACGTTGTCTCTAACAACGGCTCCGCATTGGCTGACAAACTTGGTGGCGTTCTTGCGGGGCTCCAGCAGCCTGCCGGTTGCACTGTCGACAACCTCGATGGTGCATGTTTCTCCTTGTTTCATCGTCTTGGTTGCGCCACGCTTTGACGACGTACTCGATTGTTTCGACGATCCGGCCGAGGGCTAAAATAAGAAAGAGAGTCGCGCGCGTTAGTACACACATATTTATTCAAATCAGTTAGTTTGTATCACCAGAGGCTCAATGTATATATATACCTCGGCGCCGGAGGTGGTTGCTACTTCCATTTGAAGATCGTCGTTTATCGACGTTTGTTCGGCATCATCTTGCTGACGGCGCCCTTCATCTTCACCGTCAAGGTTCAGATAAGAAGAGATATCATCTTCTTCTTGTCCGGTCGGCACATATAGAATATCGCCGTTTATGATGCCGAACATATGTGCTTCACCGTCCGGATCATAGTTGTCCATAATCGGGTCAGCTCTATCGTCCGCCATTACGTCAGTCCTGAAAACATGTAGTAAAAACAAATTAATTAAGTGAAGAAGGGGGGGCGGTGGCGGTGGCGGTGGCGGTGGCGAAAGGGCGGTGGCAAAAGGAGGGGGCGAGGAAGGGGTGGGAGAGGGTTTACACTCAAGTTGTAATACGGTTTACAATAAAGTTGCCACGACATGTTTAATATAGTTTTTTATTCTAGATTTAAAGTTACCATTGTATTTAAACTAATTTTAGTAATTCATCATGGCAAGTTTTTTATTTGCTAGGTGTACCATAACGCGGTACGAGGTGGTACCGGTGAAGGGGGGAAACATCCGGGAAAGTATTCCCTGTGTTTCGCGTTTTCAGACAGATGGGT